TATTTTATACAAAAATATGAAGTTGCTAGTTTTACACAGCATTGGTTTTAATGCGTTGAGGACTAGCATTTTTCCATCTAGTGCCAAACATCAAGTGTGACATTAAGTTTGCCTGATTTATTTCTCTTAAGGACAGAAATGCAATAACATTAAAGAATTTCAGTAATTTCTACATTTAGGCAGTTTAAGAATATACTGAATTTGAGGGTATGATTTCATGTGATAAGTAAAGTTCAAGTACCTCTTTCAATGTTAGAAAAGAAGACATTTTAGCAGAAGTTTAAATATTTTATCAAATTCACAAAAAGCCAGCAATTGGCTAATACAAAACAATTATGTTATTCTTAAAAAGGCAAACATAAACTTATCTCCAGAAGAAGAGAAAAACAATTATATTAATTGAGCTTGGAGCTACCATTATATTGTTAAGTATAATACTCTGTTTAAATGAGGCCTTCATTTTCAATCTGGCAAAATATGATGAGGCTAGTTTTCTGGTATAAATCCAAGCTTTGCAAAATCCAAACATGTAATACTTAGGATATGCAAATCTTAAACTGTACTTACTATATACTAAACTCTACAACCAAGGCAGAAATGTTTACACGAATAGCCAGTGTGAACTAAACACAGCAAATTCATGAATTTACTTTTGCTCTACCCTGATGTAAATACTAATGGATCGTCAGTCAACTCTAATGGAAGTTTGTTGACTTCTCCCTGGCTCTCTTCACTTGAACATGTCAAATAGCTACAAATATTTATATGATGACCTACTACAACTTCACCAAATACAATCTCTCTGAGAAAAGGGGAAAGGGAAAATTGTTCTTCTTTGACTCGAACCTCAAATTGTAACAGAGTTTGTGCTAACAGGTGACCTCTGAATCACTTACATCCTCTTACGTTTTTCACTTGAAAAAAAAAACTTTTTTTTTATCTTTGGATTACAGCATTATTAAATTTGTATTTTCAGATCCAGTTATGAGCATTGCTCTAGTAAGCGTTATGTCACAGACTGTCACATCCAAGCTCATTTATCTAGGACCAAAAATGAGTTTGAAACGAAGGGAATTCACACTGCACTTCCAAGTGAGTGTGCCCTTCGTAAACCCAGGAGGTAACGTGCCAAGTATTGCGACGAGCCAGGGCCAAGAGTCACTTCCAAGGCCTTGTGAGAGTTTTTCTGGCAACCTGAATATCTTGACAGGGAACTTGTTGGGTCTCCATATTTTTTCAGTGAGCCTCCATTTGGCAGGCATAGTTTAATTAAGTAGATTGTTTGAATTAAACCTGCACGCTACAAAAATAACCCCAGCTCTAACAGATTTGGTCTTAGTGTATTTGTAGTTTTTTCCCCATTTCCTAACAGGAAGGCAAAACTATATCCTTTGAAAGAAGCATCTTAAATTTATGAGAGGCTGTTGAGGCAGCATTGTGGAGGGGCCAGCACAGGCTCTGGGGTCTCACAGACCCAGATGGGGATCCCTGCCCCACCGTCTACTAGATGAATGATCTGAACAAACTATTCAACCTCTCAGAGTTTCCTTACATGTATATGTCACTGGGGAAATTACACTTCTTTGGAGGGTTGTTGGGAAAATTAGGAATAATCTATGACACTGCTGGGCACATAGTAAGTGCTCAAAATAGCAGCTGTTGATTTTGTGTGTTTGTGTTTTGTTTGTTCTTTTGTAGTGGTTTTGCCTGCTCTTCACCAGCAGGATCTCCCCAGACACCACTGCTGTGGTGACCTAGACCGTTTCTTATGCCCTACACCAGTTCTGCAGGGTGGGGATTCTGCCCCCTAGGGGGCCTTTGGCACCATTTGGAGACATAGCTGGTTGTCGTTACTGAAGAGACGGGGAAAGTGCTCCTGGGATCTAGTGGGGAGAACCAGAGATGTCGCTAAACACCCGCCAGTGCACAGAACAGCCTCCCTCCCCCAACAAAGAATTATCCAGCCCAAAATGGCAGCAGTGCTGAGGTTAAGAAACCCTGGCCAACACAATAAGCAAAATAAATTCTAGAGGCAGGGAAACCATAGCAACAGTCAGAAAATTCATCATAAACTTCAAACTCTCCATAAAGGGAATGATAGTCTTAGAAATAAGCATAAAAAGGTACAAATAACTATTGAACAGGCTGCCTAAGTAGGTGGGTGTGGGTGGGTGTGTTTGTGATTTATTTTGAGTTTGTCCACCCATTCTTGCTTCAAATATGTATGTATGTGTGTATGTGTGTATGTGTGTGTGTGTGTGTATATATAATATATATATATTTATTTATAATGTATATTTATATAATGTATATATATTTTTTATTTTTTTGTTTATGATGTCAATGTCCTGTACCACCAATCTGGAATAAATGGTAACTTGCCCTATACAAAGGGGGCTTTTAGTAATGCCATAAATCTTCAAGCTCATGAATAAAAAAGTCTTATATGGCCCTGACCAGGGCTTCTCAGTGGTTAGAGCATAAGCCCATGGACCCAAGGGTAGCGGATTTGATTCCCAGTCAAGGGCACATACCTGGGTTGCAGGTTAAATCTCCAGCCCTGGTCAGCATGCAAAAGGTAACCGGTTGATATGTCTCTCTCACATGGAAGTTTGTCTCTCTCTCTCCCTCTCCCCCTCCCTCCCTTCCTTCCACTCTCTCTAAATATCAATGGGAAAAATATCCTCAGGTGAGAATTAACAACAAAAATCTTGATATGGGTGTGTACATTTCTGGACACTTAAGATCAGTATACTTCATACTTTAGTGTATAAGAAGGTTTAAAAGGCTTAATGTATAAAAAGGTTTACTGTATATTCTTCAGTGTATAAAATTTTTATGAAAAAAATAAAAGAGCTCCTTAAATAAAAAAGAGAGAATCTGTGATATAATCCTAACAGGAAGTGGACTAAAAGTTAACTTTGTTTTGGAGGCTATGCCATGCAAACCAACAGCATAACTTTAGAGTTTTTTTGTTTTGTTTTATTTCCATTTTTTATTCAGATAGAGTGGAAGGAAGAGAGAGGAAGAGAGAGAGAGAGAAACATCGATGTGAAAGGGACATATCGAGTGGCTGCCACCCGCACAACCAACCAGGGCCGGAGACAAACTGCAAGCGAAGTACATGCCCTTAGCGGGAACCGAACCCGGGTCTCTCTGGACCGCAGGCCAATGCTCTAACCGCTGAGCCAAACTGGCCAGGCCAATAACTTCAGAGTTTGTATGGACCCTTTGTATTTATGAAATTCCTATGGACATTAAAAGCAACTGAACTGCTATTACACATCACACATATTCAAGCTGGTCCTCCCACCTCAATTACTTTTATTAGTTTACTATGGGTTTTTAAATAAAAACCTCATTTATATTTTTAAAAATCATCACTAATTCAGAAAGTCTTATTTCCTTTGAACCTAAGTTAGTGAGCTCATCCAACTCTAAAATATTTTGGTTTCTCACTTGAGTAATGGTATTTTCAAACTGCTGCAAGAAACAAAAAGCCAACCCAGGGAATGTCTGGGATAGAATTAGACAAAAATCCAGGAAAAGGAATAAAGTTTAGTAGTAATCAGTATTCTATTCCCTCCCCAAATTTCTTGAACAAACATGTATGGTTTCCCTGCTCTGTCAGTATGTTAAAAGTATCAGAAAATATGCTTAACGTATTAGGTGATACTTTGATTTATTTTATATTATTTAATTAATTTATTTGAAATAGGATTTTTGAACATTATTCGTGGGGGTAAATGTCTAATCTTCAAATAGAAGTGAAAAAGTTCATTTGAACTACTGAGAACCTGCATTTTCTGCTTCGACGTGAGAGAGACACGAGTGGATGCCACCCACACGATCCCAACCAGGGCGGGGGACAAACTGCAACTGAGGTATGAGCCCTTAGCGGGAACCGAACACAGGACACTCTGGTCTATGGGCCGATGCTATAACTGCTGAACCAAACTGGCTAGGGCGCTTTTTTTTTTTTTTTAAGTAAAAAGGATTGGTGCTACTGAAGAATGAATAACCATCCCAGGGAAGAAACTCTGGCCTTGGATCACAGACTTATACCAAACACCAACTGGTAGTAAAAAAAACCACATTTAATCTTTGAGATAATGTATTTAAAAAATAAAAGTATTGACAGCCCTGGACAGTGTGCTCAGTGATTAGAGCATTGGCCCTCAGACTGAAGGGTCGAAGGTTGGATTTCCAGTCAAGGGCACATACCTGGGCTGCAGGTTAAATCCCCGACCCCGGTTATGGCACATGTGGCACATGTGGGAGGCAACAAATCGGTGTGTCTCTCTCACATTGATGTTTCTCTCTCTCTCTTTCTCTCTCTTTCTCTCTCTCTCTCTCCCCCCGTCTCCTCCCTCCTGTCCACTCTCTCTAAAACAAAAATAAATGGAAAAAATATCCTCAGGTGAGGATTAACAAAAAAACAAACAAAAAGAATTGACAGCACAGGGAAGTCTGTGGTTGAGAAATCAGGTCTGAAGTCAGAAGAGGCAACAGTCAAGACTCGAATGCTGCTTTGTGCTTAGTTCAGAGGAACAGACGGGGAGGTAAGGCTGCGATGCGAAGAATGCTGAGTCGCAGCTCTCGCTAGTCTAGTCGAAGTCAGTGACAGAATTCGGTGTGTCTCAGCTCTCAGTCTCAGTGGTCCTTAGAAAACCATGGCATGGCCTGGTAAAGGCTGAGGAGGAATGAATGAAATCTATAAGGTGTAAAGGATGTTACTGACAAGGTGAACAAAAAGAACCTGAAAGAGGTGAGTTCAAGTCAAATGAAAGGTCTCATTTTAAACAGTAGGCTACAAACTGAAGATCTCATCAACCCAGTAAACGTGGAAAATATATATAATTTCTTTTTTATATATGTTGGTGAATTCAGATGCATAATGAATTTTTGAAAAAGACTGAAGTGGAGGACGATCTTCCAAATTAAGGTGAAGGAAGACAAATACCCCCACTCTGTTAGAGGCAGACAGGCAAAGAGCCTGGGTCTGGGCCCATGAGGGCCAGTTCCTGTGCCCACCCCTCAACAAGGGTTAACTGTGTCCCTACCAAATGGCAGGTGCCAGGCTACATGCACCACAAAAACAAAAATAATGCCCACCTCAAGCAGGTAACAGGCTAATGGGAGACTACACGAGTAAAATGACTAGTAGTATCATGGACACACTCCATTCTGCAAATACTTCCTTGAGTTCTTGATGAAGTCCTACATCCTATTTCCACCTTGTATTTACCCAACTGAGAGTGTAACAGCTACTTGCATTGAAAATGTCTTTCTTCAGGAATATCTGAGGCTTCGATAAATCTTTGTAACTGTGAAAAAGCCTGAAATCCTTTAGTTCTAACTCTTTGAGGAGGCTGTACCAGAACCGCACGACACTACTGTCACTGCCGCTGACCTCGAACCCAGGCCAGTGGAGGTGGATCTCAAAGATGAGCTGTCCAATCTGTTCAAGGACATCTTCCAAAATAAGATTTTCCAAAACTTTCCACTCTGCACTCTCCAGATCTGCTTTGAGAACATCAATCTGTAACAAAATTATAAAACAAGATTTGCAGATTTAATAAACATGGTTTAAAATGCCATCTTGGTAGCATGAGCATCACTGTTTAACCATCTCCCCAGAAAGCAGAATTGTTCAAATTTTAGATTTAGAGGTCTTTTTCAAATGACCACTTAAGAATTTCTAATTTCACTCCACACCAAACATGAATATACAAATAATGAAATGCCAGTCAGATATAATGCACCCTCTTATTTTATGCCCAGCGGGAACAGATGCCCAAGAAGGAGAGGCTGGGCTGTGTGTATCATGTAGCTCCTTGTCCATGGCCTCTCCCCCAGAAACCTATGTGCTGCACAGAGGAACCCAAGTGTGTCCAGACAGAACAGTGGCCTGCAGGGAGGGCCTGACAGAGGACCACGGCCTGCAGGGACCACCTCATGAACTTTACCCTCCAGCTCCATCAGGACTGGAAGCCAGGGAAAGAGTCCTCGGGTATCTGAATATTGGGCTTGTAAAAAAATTATATTATTCCATGATTTCATTAAAAAGTATGTATCAGTACAACATTCTTTTCTTTTTCTGTATTGATTTTAGAGAGAGAGAAAGGCAGAGGGAGAGAGAGATAGAAACATCGATGAGAGAGAACATTGATTGCCTGCCTCCTACATGCCCCCCCCACTGGGCATTGGGCCCACAACCTGGGCATGTACCCTGACTGGGAATCGAACCAGCGACCTCTTGGTGCATGGGTCGACGCTCAACCGGTGAGCCACACTCTTTTTTTTTTAAAAGGCAAAAATACCATTCTCTGTTCATTTAATGAATACAAGTTCACATTCAGGGTGAGATAAATATAGACAAAAGAGTAGGATGGGAGAGATTTTACAATTAATTAAGTTATGAAAGTCTGCTCCTTTTTGCTGACTTTGCACAAAATCCATTAGAATAACAGAACTCCAAATACCCAGAAAGCAATGAAAGCTAATTACTTACTGAGAACCTATATGTGCCCGGCTCTACGCTAAGTGCTTCATCTTGCAATATCCATTTACGCCTCTCAACAATTCTGAAAGGATGATTCTCTTAGTATCCCTACTTAGAGTTTAGGAAAACAGTCTCACAATAACCACTCCTGTCACATAGCTGGAGAGGCAGGAATAAAATTTGAACCGAATCTGTCTACTGGCCCATGTTCTTAACCACTACACAAAGTTAACTCTCCATAAACCATAAGAGGAAAAACAGTAACTCGGAGCCCCTAAAAGGCTTTTGGTTTGGAAAATAAGGTGATAGTGGAGAGTGAATAAGGGTCAGCAAGTAGAAGTATTGTTAGCAACATCACCACTTTACATTTGCAGAGCAGTTTCAGCTTAAAGAACTATTTTCTACATGTATAATCTTGGTAAAACAGCCCTGTCTGCAGACAAGGTGTTGGTAAATATGACTTTCTGTTGTCGAGGAATGGCGAAGTGGAAGTAGAGGTGAAGGTGAGACCACATCGAGGAAGGTGACAGCATTCCGGAATGATGGGGATGGAGGGGATCCCCGCAGCAGAGCCAAGGCTGGCTTCCCAAGAGGCAACATGCAACCCTAATCAGCATTTCAGGAAGGGCCAGCTGAAGTCACCGATATCCTGCCCATGAAAGTGAAACATCTCTGCGTGTTCAGAAAGATGGATAAGGACCAAGACCAGTTCTGGCCCAGCCTCTCCTCTCTCCGCGCATGGTTGTTTGATAAGTTTCTCAAATGCAGCTGAGACACGAGGCTCTCAGTGCAGTGACAGTATTTCTTGTGGGGTTTCAGAGTTGGATAGAGAAGATGTATAGAATTCAGATGTAATCACTCCAAGAAAATAGTCTTTGCTGGGCATCTTGGGGTCCTGTGGAAGATGTTTTCATTCTCTGGCCTTGGATAGTACCTCCTGGCCCATCAGGGAGAGTGATGATGACAACAACCCCAAGGTTACCAAAAGGCCTTAGAAAAGGCTACATATCTCTAAATCAGCTGGTTGGTTCAACAGTTTCAAAATCAAAGAGAAAAACTTAAACAAAAAAAAAGCAACAACCTTCTTTTCTGAAAGAAAAGAGCCAAGGCAGGTTCCAAGTGAACAGAAACAAGGCTGAAATAGTTCTTGTCAGTTGGACACAATAGAATTAATTTACCCTTTTTTCATCTCTGTGACCCTGGTACTTCCTTGGCTTTGTTTAATTTTTTAAGCTTAAGCAGAATATTCTTAAATGAAGGCAATTAATCTGCCAAAAGAACTATTTAATCAAAACTTCACAACACTTTCTAATCGGTGCATAAAATATCCAAAACCCCAAATCAACTTTTGTTGTGCCAATTCACATAGTCAAGAATTTCTTAGGTTCCTTATAGATTTACTTTTTACTGTGTTTTTCTGTGAGCTTGCATATGCTGAATGATTAATAAATCAAAGCATTAAAGTGACAGGGTAAAGCAAATCAGCCTATACTTGACCTAAAAACTATAATTATGAAGCATAGAGGAATGTACTTTATGCAATTTTTCCAAACATTTCTAAAATAAGCTGTTAATCAGAAGTTATGAGCAAATGAAAAGTAACCAGATTATTTGGTTAAATCACAGTAAATATATGCTTCTTTTGGAAATCCAATTTTCTTTTTTTCTAATTTATTTTTATTGTTGGAAGTATTATAGATGTCTCCCTTTTTTCCCCCATTGACCCCCTCCATCTCATTCCCACTCCCCTATACCTTCACCACACTAATGTCTGTGTCCACCGGTTACACATATATGCATATAAATTCTTTGGTTAATCTCTTCCCACTCCCCTTCCCCCTAGAAATCCAATTTTCTTTTTCTTTCTTTTTTTTTTAAATATGTTTTTATTGATTTTTAGATAGAGAGGAAGGGAGAGGGAGAAAGAAATAGAAACATCCATGAGAGACATCAATTATCAGTCCTCTGCACACCCCCTACTGGGGATAAATTCCACAACCTGGGCATATGCTCTGACCAGGAACAGAACCAGGACTTCTCAGTCCATGGGGCAACGCTCAATACACTGAGCCACACTGGCCAGGCTGGAAGTCCAATTTTCATTTACAAAATGCTAATCCATTCTAAAAAGCAAAATGTATATTCAAACATGACATCTCCACCCCCTTTTGATTTCAGTGACTGAAAATTCTCCACTTCAATCAGAATTGCACAGGTTGGTCCGACTCGTTCAGCCCAGGTGTGACGAGGCACTGAGGAGCAGAGATAGACAAACACTGTGAATAAAACGTGGTTTTCGCTTGCACTATACTTTTTCTAGCATTTCAGAATGTTCTATTACCACTATTTTGCAAATATAGTTTCCATTATTACTGAATAATGCACCCAATATTATTGTTATTATAAGGTACTAAACATCTCTAAATAAGATATGCCAATTTTAATATTCTAATATCAGTATTCTACAATTAAGGCTCTAAAAAAAATCGTGCAAATGATCATAGCAGAATAGTCAAATGCCGCCCTGGCCGGTTTGGCTCAGCAGTTAGAGTGTCGGCCTGCGGTCTGGAGAGACCCGGGTTCAGTTCCCTCTAAGGGCATGTACCTCGGTTGCAGTTTGTCCCTGGCCCTGGTTGGGTCATGTGGGTGGCAGCCACTCGATGTGTCCCTTTCACGTTGATGTTTCTCTCTCTCTCTTCCTCTCTCTCCCTCCAACTCTATCTGAACAAAAAATGGAAAAAATGTCCTCGGGTGAGGATAAAACAAAACAAACAACAGAATAGTCAATTGCCAATCTTTTTCTTTTTTTCTTTATTGTCTGGCCGGTGTGGCCCAGTGGTTGAGCTTGGATCCATGCACCAAGAGGTCGTCGGTTGGATTCCCAGTCAGGGCACATGCCCAGGTTGTGGGCCCGATCCCCAGTGGGGGGCATGCAGGAGGCAGCCAATCAATGTTCTCTCTCATCGATATATATATATATTTTATTCTCACCCGAGGACATTTTTGCATTTATCCTCAGATAGAGAGAGGAGGGATAGAAGGAGAAAGAGAGAAACATAGATGTGAGAGAGACATATCGAGTGGTTGCCACCCACACAACCCCAACTGGGGCCGGGGATGAACTGCAACGGAGGTACGTGCCCTTAGCGGGAACCGAACCCCAGCACTCTCCAGTCCACGGGATGACGCTCTAACCGCCGAGCCAAACTGGCCAGGGCTCCCATTGATATTTTTATCTCTCCCTTTCTCTCTCTCTAAAATCAATAAAGAAAAATTATTTTTTATTTTTATTAAAAAATGTTTTTCTTTATTGATTTTAGAGAGAGAGAAAGGGAGAGATAAAAATATCGATTAGCGAGAACACTGATTGGCTGCCTCCGGCATGGCCCCCACTGGGGATCGGGCCCACAACCTGGGCATGGGCCCTGACCGAGAATCCAACCGACAACCTCTTGGTGCATGGGTCTATGCTCAACCATTGAGCCACACCAGCCAGACTCAAGTGCCAATCTTAATACAGTTAGGTTAAATCAAGTTTCTTGGGGGTAAAATAAAAACAAAACACAAAAAACTAAGTGTTAACTCTCTGTAATCTCTGGAATGCCTGAAGACATTCTTGGGTAGAAGGGTCTCAAAGAAGGATGATGAAACAACTTTTTGATATCATTTCAGAGGCTTTAAAGAGGTCCTCTTATTAAAAAATTGTCTCCTTTCTTTTATGCCTGAAATATATAACAAATCACCTTTCATAGAACTCTCTGAGGAAATGAGAAATTTAAATTTAACTGGGTTAATATGTGAGGCCACTGGCAGCTTCCTCATTATGGGCACAAGTTTACCCCTCTGTTCATCTACCCAGAAGTGAGAGGAGAGGAAAGGGTGAGGGTGGTGGAGAAGGGACACCAACATTTGTATCAGTTTGCTAGGGCTGCTGAGTAACAAAGTATCACAAAGTGTGTGGCCTCAACAATAGAAATGTATTGCCTCAGCTCTGGAGACTAGACATCAAAATCAAGATGTGGTCCCTCCTAAGGGCT